AAATGTTTTCAAATGTAAAGATTTAAATAACTGGCAGAAAAAATATGGTTTTAAAGGAAAATTAAAACAGGAAGACTGCAAAGAGCTTGTGCTTGCCATAAAAAGAGAGGCAAAAGGCAATAAAAAAAGAAAAGAAAGAGAAGCTTGGGCTGAGTGTGGCAGAATGTTGGCTTCAACAAGCTTGCGCGAGAAAGAATGGAATAGAACTAAAACAATTAAAAGCAGAAGCAATGGTTCAGAATAAAAAACTACAATCAAGTAAGAAAAAACAAAACTATATATGTCAGACCTGAGGACAATTAGACAATAGCATCAAACAGACATAGGAACTGAGAGTGTGTTGATACAGCAACTCCACTTTCAGATGATGCAGACATAGAAGAATGTATGACACGTTTCTACCCCCTCACCCCCCGCCAAACTTTGTACCCAAGTTAAAAAAACCTTGGACCAACCAAAAACAAAAGATCTGACGGGAGCATGTAGAACTGTGTGCTGTGAAGAATTAAAAGGTATAACAGAATCAAAAGAATACAGAAAATGGAAATAAATGTTGAGTGCAAATTATTTTGGCACCAAATTGTCCAGTAAACTGATTAGGGAGAGATGCAATGTCACAGTTACGACTAGCGATTGTGCCCGATGAGAATGGTGGAATGACTGTGAAAAGAATAGACAAAATAAACACTGATGTTATGGTTGTGCAAGATACAGGCCCGCCAAGCTATTTCTGGTCATTAGATTTGAACACTGGTCCGCTTTTGAGTGTCCTAACAACATTGCTTAGCAAAATAACAGATGTGTTAAAAATGCCAGACCAGATCCAACAAGTGGATAAATTGCATGTAACTTTGCGTTTAAAGCACACTCCAGGGCAAGACCATGATTTTGATAAAAAGGTGCACAAACTGAAATCTCAACAAATTCTAATACATGATATAATAACAGATAAAGACTGCATAGCTGTTGCTACTGTCAAGGTTTCAGAAGAAGCAGAGAGATTACATGCAGCAAGTACGGTGACCCATTTTTTATTAGCAAAACAAAAAGGACTGTCAAGGCAACGACTGGGTGTAATAGCTACCTCAGCTGCATACCGCCTTGACTGGGAATGGCAATCAGATAACACCTACTACGGCCCTTCACTGAACTTTCCACTGAAAATGTACAAATTCTGCTGACAAAAGAAGAAGAGAACCTCTTAGCAGAAATACCGACAACATTGTGGTCACAAGGCAATGCAGATGTAGGACAATTACTAACGCGCAAACCAGGGATAATAAGACCAAGCAGTGAATATAGACAATGCATTAGACAATATCCAATCAAACCAGACACACAGTTCACAGTTTTATCTGCTGAGCTAGTTTTGCTACATCCAAAATTATCTTTGGGTCCAAAATTTAGCCATCAATTTCTTTCAGTTTTTTTTCCCTAAATTTTTCAAAAAGTTTTTATGAAATTTTCTAAATAATATTGTCTGTTTAGTATCTGTTTATATTTGCCTTCATAGGATATATATATACCTATATATATATGGTTTTCCTTTAAAAAAAGAGATTATATTATTATTTATTATATTTGCTACATTTTAAGTTACTTTTGTATTACTTTGCTTATTTGGTTCTATGTTTCTGAAATTATTTTTTTCTATTTCTACTACTGTACTGTACCACTTATTGGATGGCCCAGTTGTCAATCACAAATAGGGCCATGCTGCTACATAGAACACACATGTGTGTGTCAGGAA